CCCGGCTCCTGCCTGGGGCTGAACCCCTACGTGTATGCAAAACCGTACTTCATCTTAATTACTGTTCTGTTTTCTTCTGTGGATATTTCTATTAAATTATGTTAAGTTTGTCATTTTGGAAAGGCTGTTACAGAAGATGAAGTTCCTCATGTGTCTTTTAGTCGAAGGTGTATTTTAAACAAGAAAGCGGTGACTTTTTTTTTTTTCTCAGAAAGCCAAAATGTGGGTAATGCCATGCTGTGAGCCCCTTGTTGAAGCTTGTTAATTTTAATAAGCCATTATTAAAAAGTTCCAAAGAAAATATTTCATAGGTTTTTTGTTGGGTGGGCATTTCTATTAGTGGTTTTATATGCAGTGATTTCTTTTAAAATGTTACTGTATCTCCTTTGTTATTTGTAAGGATGTAATATTTATACTACCAATTTCTTGAATTGACCTTCCTGTTTTGCTGTATACAAGTCTGTTTGTACATTATAGAAGAGGCTTGGTAATGATTTCTTTATTAATTGATGGTGTTTTGTGTATTTTCTAGTAATCCCCTCTTCTGTCTGCTTTTGCACATAAGTATGAAAAGACAAATATTAAAACATAGTCTTTTTTTGGTAGAGTTAAGCAGCGTGTGTACATCTATCTGCTGTTCCCAAGAATGGGTAAATATACTTGGGGAACTGATAATGCTAAGTCTAATTAAAGCTGTCATCTTTCACTGAACAAAGAAATACAACATATTTGCGATAATGTGATAGGCTATATCCAGAAGAATGTATTTCATGACTTAGCAATTTTACTAAACTGATATAATGAATCTTCATGTAGCTGCTATATAGCTTTTGTATTTAATTGGACATTTAAATAATTATTTTGACTTGCTTTTATTAAAATATATCAGGTTATCTTTTTTCTATTTTTTCAAGGGACAAAGTAAAAAATCGTGATTGTAACAAAAATTATTTTCTGAAGTTTGAAGTCAGTTTTATAACCGATATTAGTAATTATACAATAGATAATATAGCTTGATTTCATTTATATCATTGAGTTAGCGTTAAGACTAATATGTATTTAAAAGTATGAAGTAATATATAAAAAGGATTCTCATTGTT